AGACATACAAAGAGGAGCTGGTACCACTTCTTCTGAAACGATTCCAAACAAACCCAAAAAAGAGAATTCTTCCCAAAACATTTTATGAGGCCAACATTATCCTGATACCAAAACCCGGCAGAAACTCAACAACAAAATAAAACTTCAGGCCAAACATAGATTCCAAAATCTTCAACAAAATACTGGCAAACCGATTGCAACAGAACATCCAAAAGCTTATCGATCATGATGAAGTAGGCTTCATCCCAGGGATGCAAGGCTGGTTCAACATATGCAAGTCTATAAATGTAATTCACCACGTAAACAGAACAAAAGACAAAAACTATATGATTATCCCAATAGATGCAGAGAAGGCCTTCAACAACATTCAACAGTCCTTTATACTAAAAACTCTCAATAAACTAGGTATTGAAGGAACATATCTAAAAATAACAAAAGCTATTTATGGCAAACCCACAGCCAATATCATACTGAATGGGCAAAAGCTGGAAGCATTCCCTTTGAAATCTGGCACTAGACAAGGATGCCCTCTCTCACCACTCCTATTCAATACAGTATTGGAAGTTCTAGCCAGAGCAATAAGGCAAGAAAAAGAAATAAAGGTATTCAGTTGGGAAAGGAGGAAGTCAAATTGTCTCAATTTGTGGACAACATGATTTTATATCTAGAAGACCCTATCTTCTCAGCCCAAAATCTCCTTAAACTGATAAGGAAATTCAGCAAAGTCTCAGGATACAAAATCAATGTGCAAAAATCGCAAGCATTCCTATACACCAATAACAGACTTAAAGAGAGCCAAATCAAGAACGAACTGCCATTTACAGTTGCTACAAAGAGAATAAAATACCTAGGAATACAACTAACAAAGAATGTAAAGGACTTCTTCAAGAACTACAAACTACTGCTCAACGAAATAAGAGAGGACACAAACAGATGGAGAAACAGTCCATGCTCATGGTTAGGAAGAATCAATATCGTGAAAATGGCCATATTGCCCAAAGTAATTTATAGATTCAACGCTATCCCCATCAAGCTACCAATGACCTTCTTCAGAGAACTGGAAAAAACCACCTTAAACTTCATATGGAAACAAAAGAGAGCCCGCATACCCAAGTCAATTCTAAGCAAAAAGAACAAAGCTGGAGGCATCACATTACCTGACTTCAAACTATACTACAAGGCTACAGTAATCAAAACAGCATGATACTGGTACCAAAACAGAGATATAGACCAATGGAACAGAACAGAGGCCTCGGAGGCAACTCCGCACATTTACAACCATCTGTTCTTTGACAAACCTGACAAAAACTAGCAAGGGGGAAAGGATTCCCTGTTTAATAAATGGTGTTGGGAAAACTGACTAGCAGTGTGCAGAAAGCAGAAACTGGACCTCTTCCTGACATCTTACACTAAAATTAACTCCAGATGGATTAAAGAGTTGTATAAGATGTAACACCATAAAAACCCTAGGAGAAAACCTAGGCAAAACCATTCAGGACATAGGCATAGGCAAGGACTTAATGACTAAAACACCAAAAGCATTGGCAACAAAAGCCAAAATAGACAAATGGGACCTAATTAAACTCCACAGCTTCTGCACAGCAAAGGAAACAATCATTAGGTGAATCAGCAACCAGCAGAATGGGAAAAAATTTTTGCAATCTCCCCATCTGACAAAGGGCTAATATCCAGAATCTACAAAGATCTGAAACAGATTTACAAGAAAAAGACAAACAAGCCCATTCAAAAATGGGCAAAGGATATGAACAGCCTCTTTACAAAAGAAGACATATATGAGGCCAACAAACATAATGAAAAAATGCTCATCATCACTGGTCATTATAAAAATGCAAATCAAGGCCGGGCGCGGTGGCTCAAGCCTGTAATCCCAGCACTTTGGGAGGCCGAGGCAGGTGGATCACGAGGTCAAGAGATCGAGACCATCCTGGTCAACATGGTGAAACCCCGTCTCTACTAAAAATACAAAAAATTAGCTGGGCATGGTGGCGCGTGCCTGTAATCCCAGCTACTCGGGAGGCTGAGGCAGGAGAATTGCCTGAACCCAGGAGACGGAGGTTGCGGTGAGCCGAGATCGTGCCATTGCACTCGAGCCTGGGTAACAAGAGCGAAACTCCGTCTCAAAAAAAAAAAAAAAAAAAAAAATGCAAATCAAAACAACATTGAGATACCATCTCATGCCAGTTAGAATGGCGATCGTTAAAAAATCTGGAGATAACAGATGCTGGAGAGGATGTGAGAAATAGGAACACTTTTACATTGTTGGTGGGAGTGTAAATTAGTTCAATCATTGTGGAAGACAGTGTGGTGATTCCTCAAGGACCTCGAAATAGAAATTCCATTTGACCCAGCAATCCCATTACTGGGTATATAGCCAAAGGATTATAGTGTTCTATTATAAGGACACATGCACACATATGTTCACTGCAGCACTGTTTACAACAGCAAAGACCTGGAACCAATTCAAATGCCCATCGATGATAGACTGGAAAAGGAAAATGTGGCACATATACACCATGGAATACTACGCAGCCATCAAAAACGATGAGTTTGTGTCCTTTGTAGGGACATGTATGAACCTGGAAACCATCATTCTCAGCAAACTGACATAAGAGCAGAAAATCAGACACTGCATGTTCTCACTCATAGGCGGGTGTTGAACAATGAGAACACATGTACACAGGGAGGAGAGCATCACACACTGGGGTCTGTGGGGAGGATCCAGGGGAGGGACAGTGGGGGGTGAGGAGTTGGGGAATGATAACATGGGGAGAAATGCCAGATACAGGTGATGAGGAGGAAGGCAGCAAACCACATTGCCATGTATGTACCTATGCAACAATCTTCCATTTTCTCCACATGTACCCCAAAACCTAAAACGCA